GGTCTCCTTCCCTTAAACAGGCTCACAGGAGAGGTAGGACACTGCGACTGCGCCCAGGGACTTGGCAGAGGGATGGGCAAGAGATCCCACCTGCAGAAACACCACAGGGCTGGTTGGCCAAGGCGCTGCCCATCACATCTGCAAACAGCTGCCTGGAGAGCATCAAAAGGCTGAGCGAGGCTTTGCTTGAGGGTCTTCACTCTCCCGCACCCCATCAAACACAGAAAGGGCTGCCAGGACCACCACCACCGTGTCCAAGGATGAAGCAAGCGCTAGGCTGAAGAACACGTCACCCGAGGCAGCTCCTTGCCAGAGCATGGTGGCCACCAGCAGCAGGCAGGGCACTGCTGGGCCGCATCCAGAGCTCCTGCACGGCGAGGAGCCGCGCCGGGAGCTCCTCCTCACACCGCCCCGCTGCCAGGACATCGGGATTAATGCATCTCTATCTAGGCACCTCATTACCAGAGATAGTAAAACTGGAGCAAGTTCAAAGAGTAGCAGCAAACGCAATTAAGAGCTGGAGTGAGTTAGGAGGGGAGGTGGAGAGAGCCGAACCTGCACGGCTGGCTAAGCTGTGGGGGGGCCGGAGCTGCCCACGAGCATCCCAGGAGCACAGGCACCAGGGAGGGGGAGGTCCCATTTGAGTGGGACACGGACAGCCAAGGAAGCAGAGAAAATCATCAGAAACTGGCAAAAACCGGGGCTGAAGGGAAATGTTGGTATGGTCAGGCTCTCGGACCTGGGGCAGATGACCCACAGGCACGAAGCAGGACCCACACCCCACCTCTAGGACAGCACCTTCACAAAACGGTCTTCAGTCTTCATCTTCCTACAGCCTTTTGCTCCTGCTAGCCCAAAAAGCAATCGGATGGATTATTTTTAAGCACTCGGACACATTCTTCCCTCCCATTTCAGCCATTCACAAGCAACCGGCTTCTCTACCAGCTCGGCAGGGGCAAAGGGAGGAGTAACCGCACGCCTGCTAATGAGCCAGAAGCACCTTCTGCCTTGATGAGGATGGTGTGAATGATCCAAACCTCACCACTGGTCCAGGCAATGGCAGCAGCACTCGCATCCACACGCAGGTCTGCAAGTACAAGCTACCCTGGAGTCGCCATCGATCTTTCCAGCAGCCTGCCCATGGCTTTGTGCTTGGCCGAGGGACCCCAAAAGGACTTTCTTTTGGGGCAAAAAGCAAGAATTCATTCCTGTTGGACCTCACCTTCCTACCTCCCACGCAGCACAGCAGGAGGAACCGCCCAGGAGAGCCACCACTGTGCGCTTCTCTCCATCTGCCTGCGGCTTACGATGGTTTTGCAGGGAGGGGACAGGACAGGACACCGGGGACAGGAGACTCCCACCCAGACACCAAAGGCAGGCAGGGAGGCAGCCGCAAGAGACCAAGGACAGAAGAAACCACGGGCTGCCCCGAACCCAAAGTCTGCCATGGAGCAAAACACCCAATTCCCAAATTCCCAACTTCTCTGCCCTCTCAGGGCCCCGTCCCAGGGACGGTGCCCCATGTCCTGCCGGAGCCCCACATCCTCCACCGAGCCTCTGTCTCCAGCGTGGGCCTGCAGGCAGGAGCTGCCGCATCTTGTTCTTTATGAAAAGGCTTAGGAAGAAGCATCACCTTCCCCTGCCCAGCCCCGGGAGAAAAGATGCTTTTAACGAAAGCCTGAGGCTGGCGCGGAGGGGCTCGGTGCAAGGCTTCAGAGAGGATGGGGAGAGGTTACATTCGCTTTCAAAAGCCTTTTTCATTGCTAAGCCGAGGGCTGGGGCCATGTCCCTCCGTGATAAAAGTGGCCCTAAACGAGGCTTGGCATATCCAAGGCGGGGGGGGGAGCAGCGGCTCCGGCGGGGAGGTTTTCCAGCCTCCTGGGGAAGGCAAGGGCCAAGCGGCACACGTCCCGCTGCCGCCCTGCTCCCCTCCACTTCAGCATCGCTTCCCCCCAGCTTAGGGCTGCTGGCAAATGAAAAGGAAGAAAAAAACCTTTTGTGCATCAAGGCAAAGCTTGGGGAGAGGGAGGGGAAGGGGAAAAAAAAAAAAAAGAAAAAAAAAAGACAACACGTGGGTGGTCTGCTTGGGAGACTTTTGACTTTGTTTTTTTGGCTATTTTATTTCTCGGCAGAAAGAGCTCCTGGGGCTGCTCGGCAGAGGGTACGCCCAGATCATAGGAGCATCCTCAGCCCACCCAGGGGCCAAAGTTCAGCTGGCAGCGGCCGCTCGCTCCCAGCGCCGAGGGGGCTCGCTTCAAAGCGCAGAGGAGTCAAGAGAAATTAAAGTCAGAAACGGTCCAAGGAGGGGGCAGAGGGCACTGCCGGCCCTCCGAGGAGAGAGGGGGGAACTCCACAGGGATGCTCTGAGCACCCCGCTCACTGCACCCCTATTCCAGCCCTATACAAGCTCCGAGATGCTGCAACGGGAGACTGGGATCGGAAAATAGAGGTTAAACAGGATTTTATGGCAGTGTCTTGGGAGATCCCCCCACCTTGGGATGAAAGCAGGATTGCATTACAAATATAGAAAAAAACTTCTAGATATGGGAGAAGATTCCCATCGGTGGTAGCAGAATCATATTAAAAAAAAAATGATTGGGCAAAAATGCAATGAGTTTAAAAGCCCCAGCTAAACCCCCGGCTGTGCATCCCATCGGAGCTGCAGCAAGCCAAAGCGATGGTGACCCAGGTGTGCTGGCAGCGTTGGAGGGGAGCTGGCACCGGCTCAAAGCCATGGGGGCCCTTGGGGAGCCGCGTTTGTACTCAGCAGCGCACCGTCGGCCGCTTGTGAAAACGCCACCGAAAGCTACGAGCGGTTGATTTAACTTAAGCAAGAGTTTTCGTGTGAAATGCAAAGCAGCTCCTTACAACTTGTGCAGTTCAGAGCCTGGTAAATCCCTCTGCCTGCACCTTCCTGCCAGACTGCGTTGCAATGCGAGGGACCCCCGTGTTTCTCCTCCCCAGCGCTTCGTTAGGCTCCTGAGCTCATTCTGAGGAACGTATTTGTCTTTGGGGGCTATCTGCAGCCTGAGGGTCCCAGGGGATGTAGCAGCAGGGCACGAGGCAGGACCCTGCTTTCAGCCCTCGTTAGCTTGACGACCGTGCCGCTGCTTGAACTTGACCCCCGAGCACGGAGGAGCTGCTGACCGAGTGCTTCAAGATGTTTGCCCAACATACAAAAGGCAGACTCATGGCTGTGCATTCAGCCCCTCTCCCCACTCTTTGCCCGCTGCAGGGAAAGCTTGCTGTTGAATTAAACCTTGCATCAGCTGAGGGACAGCAGAAGGGCTGACCTTTCGGGGTCCCAGAGCCACCAGGCTGGTGCCAGCCCTGGTTACTCGCGGTAAGGGAGATGGGAGCCTGCAGGGAACCTGTGCCAGGGCTTTTGGCATCCCCACCCCATCCCCAGGGCGCCTGGGCTTGCAGCGAGGGTCGCCTGCACCCCTGACGGCTGCAAAGCTGGTGACCCCACCTGTGCCCCCTGAGTCACACCAGGCAGATGGTCCCAGAACTGGCCAGCGAGGGTGACAGAGCCTCTCTCGGGAGAGACCGGCCCCGCCAAACGGTGACTCAGCCCTGTACAGCCCGCGGTCTCTGCCAGCACCGCCACCGTGCCGAACAGGCTGAGCGGGTTGTTGCGCTAGGCCCTCCCAGCCATCACCCCTCCTACGGCCACACGGTGCCGGGCACAGGTGACCAGAAACCCCTGCGAGCCCCTTTGCCACCGCCCTGTGCCCAGCCACAGGATGCAAGGGTGGGCTCAGGGCTGACCTGCCGGAGCCCATCCCGGCTGTTTTCTCAGCACCAGGTTTACTCAAATTATTCTGCAGCAAAACTACAGCCAGGTCCAGCCCCAGGGAGGGCTTGCTGGGGAAATCCAGGCTGGCAGCATCACCGCGGCACCGCGCTATGGCAGAGCACCTCCTGCCCCCAGCTGCCTGCAACATCCTCGCCACCCCCTCCGAGGGCAAAGATTTCAGGCTAAAAATACATTGTGTACCGACTGGAAAGCACCAGCTCCCACGGCTCAGCGCTCACCTCCCACGCAGGCAGCTGACCTCTGCGCCGGGCTGCTCGCCGGCGAGCCCACGGCACATGACAGCGAGGGGAGAGATGAGCCGTGTGGCCACCGTGCCCTTTGCCAGCTGCTCTGCCGCGGGTTCACAAGCAACGCGCCAAGCCAGGCAGAAACAGCGAGGTTGAGGAGAAGCCGAGCAGGGGAAAAGCGAGCTGGCAGACATCACCGAGTCCAGCACCGCCAGACCGGCTGCCGAGGGAGGGCCGAGCTCCCCCGGAATCCTCCCTCTATCCACGCCGGGGCCAGCACAGGCAGACACATCCCTGTGCGATGGTCCCCTGCAGGCACGGACCACAGGCTCTGAGAAAACTCATCCCTCCTTCCCTCACCCCTCCATAAAGCCACACTATACCAAGAAACAAAGTGAACAAGCCAGTATACAGAATTTTACAGCCATTTAGACCACAGCAAGCACTGGGCACCACCGGCAGCTTCCCGCTGCCGGGGCTGCTCTCGGAGGCAGCACCCAGAGAGGAGGACGAGCATCTCCTCTGTCATTGTTCCTCCCGATCCCAACTGCCCCACTGGGAGCTCCCCGGGGCAAAGCCCTACAAGAAATGCTTTGCCTCCAGCCTCTGAGGAAGATGGCAGCAAAATTAAACTCCGGGTGTGACAATGCTTCAGACACACGCTGCCCCTCCATGCCAGGGCTGACCCCGGCTGGGGGACACGCTCCTGCTCCCGGCCACGGGCAGGGGCAGGGCAGGGGGTACAAGGCACAGCACAGCAGCCAGATACAGGCCGGTGACCCGCTCGGCCAGTGACACATTCCTCTCCCTTCTCCCATCCATGAGGAAATATTTTCCATATGTGTCAGCTGTTTGCACCGGCCAAATCGCGAACAAGCGCCTGGCGACACTCTCCAGGCCCCCGCAGCTCCCCCGAGCTGGGGACAGCAGCGAGGAAGAGGAGGGCGACTCACATGTGATGAAGTAATCCTGCTGCCGCTTGAACTCCAGGCCCATGTAGTTGGGGCTGAACTCCTGAAACTTGATGGTGAAGCGGATCTCCTGCTCGGGCCGGTTGCACGTCACCAGCACATTGGGGTCCATGACGGTGCTGCAGGCATCTGCCTGGTCCTTCTTCACCAGGTACAGCTTGTAGTACTCGTAAGGCTTGGACGGCTCCGCCTTGGGGCAGATAATGTCCAGTTTATCCCCAATCTCCGGGTAGATGACCAGCCCCTTCCCAGTCATGAACCTGGAAGAGAGGAGGGTGAGAGGTTAGCCACACGCTCGAGCGCAGGCAGCGGGGGCCATGCCAACCCATCCCACCCCCGGCAGAGCCCTGCTTTCACACCATTTATTTCATGCTTAAACTCTGCTGCTTTCTCTCCAGAAGATGTTTTTGGACACCACAATAAAGTTCTCCTCTTCATTCACCATCACTGCACATGCAAGGAGCCAGTTCAGGCTCCCACCGATAAAAACAGAGGCTCGCTTGGTTCAGTCCCGCTCCTGACGAGGGTTAGCACCCTTCCCAGACCCAAGCCTGGCACCCAAAAGGGAATAGAGTCTTCCCACAAAGGGCTGCGAAGCAGGCGGGCTGGAGATGCCACGGCTCTGCCCAACAGCCAGGCGAGGAGCCTCCTGCAGGGACAGGCGATAATTAGGCATGGGGAGAAGTCCTGACAATGGGGCGCAGGGAGGGATCCCTTCCACGCCCCGGCTCCCCAAGGAATTCCTGTCCTTAAATGGAAGGGAGGGAAGCATCCTGCAGGACAACTTCTACCAGGCCAGGCTCAACGGCGTGCCCAGGAGCGTGGGAGAACCGGATGGAGAGGAGCAAAGAGGGAGGAAAGCTATTTGGGGCTGGAAGGCAGGGCATTGCGAAGGGAAGGAAGGCAATACGCTGATAATTAGCATTCGAATTTCATTATTGTGGAGCAATACTCTGATTTTTTTTTTCAGCGTGAAGTAGAGGATTAGGGCAACAAGGAGGGAAGCAGCAGAGCATCTACTTTGATGTAGGCAACGTAACGCGTTCTTGATGGAAGATAAGGTGGGAATGGATGTTCCTGCAAAGTTATCTCTGCTGCAACTCCCTCGTGTAATTGGGGCATGGCAAAAACCGAAGCGTGTGCTTTGGCAGGCTGCATGTCCACAGCTTTCCCTTCCACTCCCGGCCGGTCCCTGCCCCATCCCACCGCAGCAGTCGGACGGGGGGACGGGGCCATGAGGACACCTTCTCCCCCCAGCCAGCCGCACCAGCTGGGGCTGCAGGCACCACGGAAGGAAGATCAAACACACAAGACCAACCTGCTCCGTAGCTCTGGTACAAGTCTTAGCAAGAAGCCACGGAGCTGAAACCAGCGCCTGAGCAGCCCAGGCTCCAGGCCTCTGGCTGTGGGAGCCCCAGCAGATCTGCACACCGACCGACCAGGCTTGGAGGAGGCAGGCGGAGCCCGAGCCCACGCACATCCCGATGCCTTTGGCAAGGGCTCCGGAGCTCGGCGCCAGCTGTAGCAGCGGGAGGGACGGCCAGGAGAGACAGACAGACATCAGCTGCACCTCTCCGCCGGGTCGGAGGGGGCAGCCCCGGCGCCCACACCTGCCCAGCCCCAGGAGTGGAGGCGAGGCACAGGGACAGCGGGTACGGTCCCCTTCACCCACACTGCTCCGAATGTGGGAGTTGAATTCAGGCGGGTTATCTGCCCCATCCTCCCTGCCCGGCTGCGGCTCTGCCTCTACCACACCAGCTCCAGCGATACCCGAAGCAGCACCGCGGCCATGGGGCATCAGGCACAGGGGGACAGTCGGGATCATCCCAACCCCGGCACCACCGGTACAGTGGCTGTGCCTTTGCCATGCAAGCTTGCGGGAAGCAATTAAGTTTTGTAAAAGTCATGACTTCTGGAAGAAAGCGACGCAGCAGCCTCACGAAAGAGCAGGAAACTTAACCCCTAAACGGCCTGTGCAGGAAGCAGACTGATGGGTGGCAGGAGAACACCTGCACGCCTGTGGGGACTGTTGGGTGGGGGGGAAACGCTTGCCGGGTGCCGCTGCCCGCTGCCAGAGCCCGGCTCCCATCCCCGGCGCTGCCGGGAGGTGAGCCGCGCTTCGCCTGAACGCTACCAAGTAGGTCAGCTGGCCCCCGGCCAGCACACCGCTTCCAAGGCCTTGGGAGCGATAAAGGCTTCCCCCACCCACGGCCGGAGCCCTGACGCAATCCCAAGAGCCGCGTAGCAGGAGATGCAAAGGAGCCCCTGCCCCTCCCTCCCCTTGCTCACCCTCCCCACCCCGCGCCAGGCCGCAGACATGCAGTGCAAGTGAACACTTGCACGCTCGCTCACGGGTTCCCACCCCGAGAGGCTGCTGGATCCCACACTCGTTTCTCCACGGCTGGGCTGAGTCAGAGGCTTTCTGGCACAGGACTCCCAAGTGACTCAAATTCCCTCCTCCAGCCTCTGCCAGCTCCCTCCTGCCCAGAAGATGCCAAACAGGAAGCCACAAACAAGTCAAGCAGATGTCTTGCAACGCCGGAGCAGGAGGAGAAGGCTCCTATCCATCCCCCATCTCCATACCAGGAGGACCTATCACACCTCCTTGGCCAAAGCCTTGGCCAACACCTGCAAACCGACCGGTCCACGTGACACCAGCCTGCGCTGACGGCACGGCCGTCTGGGATCAGGTCAAGCTGATTCTTAAGCAGGGGAGAGGCCATAAAGCAATCAAGGGAGCTGAGAACATCCCAGCACCACATCCTGCTGGCACTTCTTCATGCTAGAAAATTCAGAAAGAAGGCCTATGTTTGTTTTATTTGTTTTAAGGATAAAATTACGAGCCGTATTTCTTCCATGAACGCTCAGTCTCAGCTTCAGAAGCACGCAGCTTCTGCCTGGGAAATAGCCCAGGAACATTTTCCAGATCTCCTACACAAACATCGAACAAGACAGAGCTACCAGCCAAAGCAGGCAGCACTTCATCGCATGCAGAGGCAGTGCCGTGGACGGGGCTTTTGGGGTTGCTCCCTCCAACCGCTGCTCCCTGCCAGCCGCATTCCTGCCCGCACACACACGTTTTACCCTTTGTCCTCCAATTTCCCTGATTTTTTCTTCTCCATTTCCCCCTTAGTGTCCCTCCCTCTCTCTTCTCTAAAAGCAGGGCTGTTTCCCACCCGAGAGGCCGGGCAGCATGAGCGGTGATGAGAAACCCCTGAAGTGTAACACCTCTCTCATTGCTCTTTGAGTTCTTAACCGTACATTGAGATTTTTTTCCCCAAAAATATGTTGTTCTGACACAAGCAATGGCTTGTGACAGCCATCCTAGGGAAGACTGACAATGGTTCCCATCATGCGAGAGGCCAGTTCTCCAGGAAATTCTGCTTTAAAATACAGTAGGTGAAAAGCAACATTTGTCACAAGAAGAAAGTCCAAAAATTGTCGCAAGTTGCCTGTACGCAGTATTACAGCAAGTTCTGGGTATGAGAAATTTTACTTCAGAAGGACCATTGAAGGCAAAAAAGAATTACACTCCTGACTTGTCTTTACAAGGACACATCTTCAAATTTATCTTAACTGGGAAGAATGAACAGATCTCCTTTTAAATTAATAGGGAAATTCATCATGCCCTCAGAGCACGTGCTGTATCCTCCATACATTACAGTTTGATTTCCCTGTTCTAAGGCGGGGAGGGAAAAAAAGAAAAATCAAAATTCAACTCAACCTTAACGCTGAAGCTAAGATTGACACAGCCCCAGACACACGCTCTATTAGACAACTTGAATTTGGGTCCGGCAGAGCAGCAGGGCACCAAGAAGGAGGATGGCTGCTGCTCAAAGCCATAACCTCCCAAAAGTCCAGTTTCTGACCCCGTTCCTGGGACATGAGCAGACCCCTGCCCACAATCTGCCCCAGCGAGCCCCGGCTCAGCACGCCTCTTGCAACAGGAGGGAGACAGACCCACCACCAGTGCCCCACCAGCGCCCCACCAGCATGTGCCCAGTGCTTTCGGGACTAATCCTGCACAGCACATGCAGGAGCCCTGCCATGGAAGCCCGTGAGCAGGCACCCGGCACCCCAACCACCCACGGCACCCGGTGGGGTCCCCCCACACATGCACCTTCCCCCTCGACCGCCCTCCTCCACCTCTCCCACCACTTGGGAGGAGGATGGCAGCTCAGCTCACAGATTCTTAGCATCCTTTCTCCTGGTGTCAAAGGTGGTGGTAAATATTAACTACAGCCATTAAAGTTTAAAAAAAAACCCTTTTTGCCGGTGCTCCAAACTGCACCCAGCTGAGCAGAGCGTGCCAGGCAGGGAGCGCTGGCCTCCGCTCCGGTTATTGGCAGCTTCATCACTTAAAGCCCCTCAAGGTGATTTTTGGGTGGCACCTGCGCTGCCCACCCGCAGAGCCGCG